GAGGTGAACATACATGAGAGGTGAACATATGTGAGAGGTGAACATACGTGAGAGGTGAACATACATGAGAGGTGAACATACATGAGAGGTGAACCTATGTGAGGTGAACATACATGAGAGGTGAACCTACATGAGAGGTGAACCTATGTGAGGTGAACATACATGAGAGGTGAACATATGTGAGGGGTGAACATAGGTGATTATTCTTGACAGACTGACAGCTACACATTTATTCTCGATTTCACACTGAATTAAAAAATAATAATTCCTTCGCTACAGGGAAGATGCCAACAAAGGCGACGTCAACAGCAGCAACGGCCCGCGGCACTTGGACAGCAGCAGCGTTGACAGCGCCATCTATGATCACAGCTCGCTGACAAAAAACCGCGTGAACGGTTCCGGCGTTGACAGCGCCACCTGCAGCAACGGTGGCGCCCTCAGGAAGCCGCGCTCGGACAGCTGCGGGAACGAGTCGACGAGCGGCGTTAGCTCCAGCGACTCGATCCCGTTTTCGGACGTGGCGCCGACCCCCGGGTCGACCCCGGGGAGCGTTACCAGTGGCGCCCTTTCCGGGCTGACGGCGCACCCGTCTGACGTGAGGCGCAAGCAGGCCAACCTGAGACGCAAGGCGAGCGTGATGAGACAGATGTCTTACAGCTCCGACAACACCGACATTACGTTCACGAGGTGAGTGCGTGTGCGTGCGCGTGCGTGCGCGTGCGTGTGTGTGCATGTGTGTTAGCATGATCAGGGTTTCTTATACATGAGAGGCGGTTACACGATTCACCCAAATCCACCCAAATCCACCAAATCCACCATGATCAGGGTTTCTTATACATGAGAGGCGGTTACACGATTCACCCAAATCCACCCAAATCCACCAAATCCACCATGATCAGGGTTTCTTATACATGAGAGGCGGTTACACGATTCACCCAAATCCACCCAAATCCACCAAATCCACCATGATCAGGGTTTCTTATACATGAGAGGCGGTTACACGATTCACCCAAATCCACCCAAATCCACCAAATCCACCATGATCAGGGTTTCTT